TTAATCATTCACTCTGCCCGCCGAGGTTCCCTTCGCGGCCGCGGCAACGTGGGGTGCTGGTGCGGCTCGGCTCTGCGGTGTTTTGAAACCTGATTCTGAACTCGTTCGGGTCGGGTTTCAGTGCCGCTGGGGTACTGGGGCTGGAGAGCTGCTTCCTGGGCCCCGTAACACAGCGTGGCTCCCGCCTGGTACGGCGGTTGGAGGAGGGGACTTGCGGGCATAAGGACAGCAGGGATGAGTGGGGGTGCTACCAACTCCGCACCTCCAGAGCGCCCACCCTGGCGGGTTTGAACTTTTTGACTGGCAGGGCTTTTTTTTCCTCCGACTGGTAGGATATAATCGGGCTTTCCACCTCTTTTGTGGGTTCTCCCGAGTTAGACACCTGGGGTGTGTGTCTGTACTTTGGGCGACGTAAAGTCAGAAGGTCGCCTAAAGAGGTGGTGTCTCTAGCCCCTCGGGGATAGGAGAGAGAGAATCCAAACGCAGCGCTAAGGTTCTGCTCGGGGAAGACATCTGGGAGCCCGGGAGCCTGCCCGGCCCGGCCCCGGCGAAGGTGCTCGCCGGGCGCATTCCAGAGCCCGCAGCGGCCCGCCCCCGCCCCTGCGCTCCTGCGGGGCGCGCCGGCTCCGAAGTTCCTATCCCCAGGTGGGGAGGGAGGCGCTGGCCGCAGGCCGGCCTTGCCGTAACCAAAACAAAACGCGCACTGCGACCTGCGGGCACCCTCCGTCGGGCCTGCCAGAGACTCGGAGGAGATGCACTGGTAACGCCACGCCACCTGCCCCGGTTCCCGTTTGAAGCCAAGGATCCCGGGGATTTGGGGACAGAGGGTGGAGAGCGGGCGCCGGACGCAGGCCAGCTGCCCTGCAGCCTCCGCTCCCGGGCGAGGCGCGTTCCCTGGGTCTCCTTCACCACATTCTCTCTGCCTCGTTCCTCCCCCAACCCTACACCCCCGCCCCGAGCCCAGTTGCCTGGTTTAGGCCCCTCTCCGGATCTACCTCCTACCCGTACCCCCGGTGAGTCACCCTCGCAGACGGCGACGGCGGCTCAGCCTCAGCTCGTAAATCAAAGTGCTTTCTGCGCTCCTGGCCCCGCAGCCCAAAGCCCGGGTAATCCCCTCCCCTCGGCATGAAAGCGAACGACCGCCGGGCACTGCAGGGATGTCGGATCTTCTGCTGGGCCAAGTCTCGCCGCGCTTCCAATCTGCCATCATCCTCCCCCGCCCACCCTCAGACCAAATGGGAAACCCCCACCACTACCCTTCCCCAGATTTGTTATTCCCCCCAAGTCAGGGAGCTAAGAAACACAGTCCTGTCTGGAACCAAAGGACCGAGGGTGCTGGGGAGGAGTCTGGTAGTTATTGGGCAGCTGAGTGACCCACCCTTTCCCTCCACCTCACCAGGGCCCTGGATGGTGTATGTTAAATAGGCCCCTATGGCTTCCTTTGGATTCAAGGGCGACTGCACAAAACGGTTCTTGGGTTGAAAGTGCCTTTCCTACAAGGCCAGCCACTTTGTTGAATGAAAGAGTTGTCAGTCTTGTGGAGTAGAAGTTTGGGAGCAGGTGAGAAAATGATCTCTTGTTAACTAACTGGCAAACAAAACAACACTTTCCACCTCCTGCTCCTTTGGCACTTTCATTTACCTTCAAAATTACACTAATGTGAATTGGTGTAAAGGGAGGGGAAGGAGTTCCTAAACAGGAAAGACCCACCGAATCATTTAATGAGTTTTTTCTGTGGTATAGATAGTGGCATATTTAACAGTGAAGAATAACTCCAATGCTATAAAAACAATTCTTCTGTAAATCCTACTACGGTAGTTGAGTTTACATCTTCCCAGATTTTCTGTCTGGTCAGAATCTGCTGAAAGGCCGCATAGCTTAAAGGAAAGTAAAAGATTTCCTGCTGTGCTTTTCTTAAATGCTGTCTTCAATGGGGTTAGAAGCTGGTTTTCCAAACAAATGGCACTATGTAGAATGTCAGCCTCCTGACCTTCTTAATGTCTTGATCTCCCCCTCAATGCAGTGAGTCAGACGGCAACCCCAGCACTGAAGATGAATCCAGCAAGGGTCATGAGGATTTGTCTCCCCATCCACTCTCCAGCTCATCCGATGGTGTCACCAGCCTTAGCCTTTCTGGTCACATGGAGCCAGTGTACATGCAACAAATTGGAAATGCTAAGATATTAAGCTCTTCCGGAGTTTTGTTGAATGGAAGCTTGGTACCTGCAAGTACTTCACCTGTCTTCCTTAATGGTAATTCTTTCATTCAGGGACCTAACGGAGTTATCCTTAATGGACTAAATGTGGGAAATACACAAACAGTGTCATTGAACCCACCCAAAATGGCATCAAACATTGTGAGTAATGGTATATCCATGACTGACATACTGGGCTCTACCTCCCAGGATGTGAAGGAATTCAAAGTCCTCCAGAGTTCTTCAGCTAACTCAGCAGCCACCACCTCCTACAGCCCCAGTGCCCCTGTGTCGTTCCCAGGGCTGATCCCCAGCACTGAGGTGAAAAGAGAAGGCATCCAAACAGTGGCTTCCCAGGACGGAGGCTCTGTCGTGACTTTTACTACACCAGTGCAAATTAATCAGTATGGCATTGTCCAGATCCCCAATTCCGGAGCAAACAGCCAGTTTCTTAATGGGAGCGTTGGATTCTCTCCACTGCAGCTGCCTCCTGTTTCAGGGGCCGCTTCACAAGGTAAAATTCTCATTTGGTACTATAAGGCACCAGTAATGTTTAGCCAGCTGCTGTAAGTGACGCACTTGGTGAGAGCTGCGGATTGATGTGACTGTTCAGGTACCCTATTGGCGGCCACAGCTGCAGAATGGCTGTGATTTGTTTCTCCTTCACAACGTCCATGTCATACGCAGCTTGCCTGGTTCCCTGGCATCATGGGGATGGGCTTGTATTTCCCTAACAACTGAATGGAAAAATACAGTTCATAGCAAGTCTTTTGAGGTCTGTGAGTATAGAAATATGATAAGTCAATCGGTGCTTACAAAATAACCCATTGTTTGACATTTTAAGATTAAAAATTAATAACATTGCTAAGAACACAAAATTAGTGAAGCAGTTGATAAGAATGTGTCCACTTTACCTAAGCATTATTTACTTGACCAAAAAGTGTTTTAGAAGAGCAAGACTGGATCAACTGTGTGATTCGTGTTCCTTCTTTAGCTAAGACTAATAGATCTAGAGACAGACCAGAAGAATACGTGATGGAAGGTCTGTTGCTCCGCATGTCTACTCACCTTCTAAATGCAGGTTTATTAGTGAGGGCAACCATAAGCCTCAATCTATGCGTTTGTGGCTTTACTAAAGACAATCTGCTAAGGAAAGCACTGATCTAAACTTGGGGAAACCGGAAGCTGATATGCCAGTCCTTCACTGACTTTAACCAAGTCTGGATGGCTCTATGTCATTTTTTTCTATATAGAAACAGGAATGGTTAGAATGGCGGTGAAGTTTACATATCCCCTTGACTTCAGGCGTATGAGATGTTAACGCATGTTTACCTTCCTGCCAACAAATCTGAAAGTACAGATTGTTTTACCAACACAAAATAAGTAATTGTTTGCCTTAAAGGTCAGCTTCCTATAAAATGGTTTTTATTTAAAAAAAAAAAAAATCAATTTATAACAACTGTGATCTACTTTAGCTTATTTGAGGCATTAATGGAAAAATTGTTATGGAGTAAATTCCATTCAGTACGTTTGTTTCTCTTTAGGTAAAATGGCAGTAAAACAACAGTTCTGCAGCATACTATTTATTTTTTCATTGTTCCAGGTTATGGAAAGGATTAAGCTAAGTCACTGTCCAACATAGGACAAAAATATGAAAACCACAGGGAAACCCAAAGTGCTTAGTTTTATAATAATTTAATGTGGATTTAAACTCTTTTCTTTCTTTAGGAAATTTCCAAGCAGTATGTAACATTTTAGAGTACATATTTGACCAAAACCCCCAGTATATAGGTTGGGCAAGGAGAAAAGCAGAAATATTTTTCACATGTAACCTAGAAAAGTGCTACCATAGAAAATTATTGCAAACTATTGACTAATTTTTAAAATGGGGTGTTTAATATGAATAAGAATAGCATTTTCAGTTTAAAAAGCTAAGCTCAAATAACAGAGCTGTCAGTCCTTAGACTGTCTGGGTGACTTGAAGGTTTAAGTTTAACCAGATGGGTCCAGGAAGCAATGTTTCTTTATAGTAGTTGTGGATTGAAGTTCTTAATAGAGAACTTGGGGATTCAGCCTTTCTCAAAAAGAGATACCTGAGGCTTTCTTAAAAATATCTAGACAAGATAATCTTCCTATATAGGTGGAATTTATATGGGAAAGCAGAATATCTACATCTTTTTCTCACTTTATAATCTGAAAAATAAGGGGTTTTTTTCTTTTATTTTACCATCATTACAAAGTTATACTTTGTACCTGTATCATTTTTCAATTGGATATTTTAGCTGATTTTGAAATTATTGTTCAATTTGTAATTTAATTGTAGTTATATTTAAATGTCAGCTTTTAGATCACATCAGCTTTTCACCCTTCACTTATATAATAATTCCTACACATTCAGAAATACTACTTTATATTCAATAGCAATTGGGGAAAATGTCACGTTTATGTTGTTTATGGCTCTATCAAAAAATAACTATTTTGTTCACATATGCACTGACAATTTCACAACCACATAACACAAGAAAATAAACATTTACTTCAGATATTTTTTGCTACAGTTTAGCAGTCAACAGGAATTTTGAGGCATACTTAAGTTGAAGATAAACGTTTTCAAATAAAAACCTTTTCATTCATTTGGCCTAGAACAAACATTTGTTAGGGAAGAGCCCAGACATACATAGAAATGTTTTTCTTAACACGATTATTTCCATGATGAATACTTTTGGGTGGTTAATTTTTTTTTAAGTTCAAATATAGTGCATTTGTTTTCCTTTCATTTTATTTTAAAGACATTCTTTTGCATTGAGGGTGCTTTAAAATGTTTGGAAAGACATAAACAGCCCTGTGACATGGATTTATCAATATAGGTGGTAATATAATCACAATTACTGTAGTATTTCAAAAACAAATGTTTTAGGTGAATTGCCTTTATTATTGGACTGTTTTCTCAAAATAGTAAAGAGTTTACTGAACATCTAATTCAAAATCAGGGTAAACAGCCCTTCTGAAACTTCTGTCACAGAATTCCCCCAAGTCCACTTTTCTATCGGTGGCAAGATAATTGCCATCCTTTCATTGTGCCTATGTAAAGACTCAGAAAGAAAAGGGTTTTATTTGACGGTGGGAGTGGGGCTAGGGTCTGATTCATTGACATGGACTGAATTACTTGATTTGAACATCTCAGCTTTCTACTTACATTTCTTTTTCTACTTCTGGTCTCTGCAGACCAAAATAGCAAGAGCCTCAAAAGACTTAAACCTTTCAGAAAAGCATTAGCTCTAGTTCTTTATATTAACCTATATTTTTAAAAGCATGTTTCATTATTATCATTACAACAGTGAAAATTCAGAACTGGCCCAAGAAAAGAAAAACAAAACCTACTGAATGTTTTGTTGACTTGACATTACTTTATGGTTAGTTTGGCAAAAGTTTGCAACTTGTCTGTACAGGTTTATATGGTTAACATTAAGCCCCAGGGTAACTCATTTTATGTGGCATTTTCTACATTTCCATTTATATTTTATGTAAGTTACTGAGCTTGTCCTGAACAAAGGCATTTTATTTTGCATTTGTGTTTTCTAGTTCTAACTGGCAGAGTTAGCAATAACTATCAATTAATTGAAAGATAACAAGTTGGGTCTTATGGAAATTAATGAATATTCTTTATGAACTAGGAACTTGACTAAAATTAAATCTTGGAAAAGATTTTTTTCACACTTGGTTTCTAAAACCAGTAGTTCTCACTCCCACTTGGTCATCAGAATTCTTCAGGGAGTTAAAAATGCACCTGTTCTAGGACTTACTAAGCCAGATTCTTAGGGGAAGAGCCTGGGAATCTGTAGTTTTAAGTGCTCAAAGTGATTTTTCCTGAACCTGAGGAAAATCATGTGTGTAAAAAAGTAACTTTTTTTTCTTTCCTTATCGGTTTAATCAATGATAATCTGTACTTTTTTTTTTTAGGTAATATTTCAGTAAATTCAAGCACTTCAGATGGGAGCACATTTACAAGTGAGTCTACCACAGTCCAGCAAGGAAAGGTTTTCTTGAGCTCCCTTGCGCCCAGTGCAGTGGTATACACTGTTCCTAATTCAGGCCAGACTATAGGATCTGTTAAACAAGAGGGCTTGGAGAGGAGCCTGGTATTTTCTCAGTTGATGCCTGTCAATCAGAATGCACAAGTAAATGCAAATCTGTCCTCTGAAAATATCTCGGGGAGTGGCCTCCATCCACTTGCCTCCTCATTAGTTAATGTATCCCCAACTCACAGTTTTTCCCTGACTCCCCCTACCCTACTAAATCCCACTGAACTAAACCCTGACATTGCTGATAGCCAGCCAATGTCTGCACCTGTGGCAAGCAAATCTACTGTGACATCTGTCAGCAACACTAACTATGCAACTCTTCAGAACTGCTCCCTTGTTACTGGTCAAGATCTATTGTCTGTCCCCATGACCCAGGCTGCCCTTGGGGAAATAGTTCCTGCAGTTGAAGATCAGGTGGGTCACCCCTCCCCAGCGGTACACCAGGATTTTGTCAGAGAGCATCGGTTGGTTCTGCAATCAGTAACTAACATAAAAGAGAATTTCTTAAATTCAGAGAGCAAAACCACAAGCAACTTAATGATGCTGGACTCCAAATCCAAGTATGTCCTAGAGGGCATGGTTGAAACTGTTTGTGAAGACCTGGAAACAGACAAAAAAGAGCTTGCCAAGCTCCAAACTGTCCAATTGGATGAAGATATGCAAGACTTATAAACTTTATCCCCCCCCCCCCCTTTTTTTTTCTGGCATCAGCCAGCAAATCTTTCCACGAAGCCCTGAGGACATAAAGCATTTTCCCATTTAAAGGGAAACACTAGTTTTGCAAGTAAATGCAGTCAAGAGACTTTGGATTGATCTGCATGAAGATCACAGTTAAATATACAGGAGTAGAACTGCATTACTGCAGCCTTTCTTCACATATGTTCTCTTTTAAATAGATGGAGACAAAGGAACAAGATGGAATATATCAAGTCAAAGTGTATCATTTGGTTGACTTAATATAATTCTGAGGTCAAATGGAACTTGATAGTTTTTTAAATTAAAAATGTATGCACCTAACAAAATTAAGTATCACTGCAGAGCATTAGAAACAATACAATCCCTTTTGTTTACTTTTACTCCATGGGCATTGATAAGGTTCAGTAGCATAAACGGTACTCGACACTATTCTAAGGGTATATTTTTGAATATTTGCATTTCTGTTTTTCAGCATTTTTGTGAAAATCTTGGTTTGTCTCTACACATTTCCAAATGTGATTGCTAATAGTTCTGTGTGGCTGAGAAAGTTTGCAACTCCACTAAAAACTCTGAAACAAATTTCAGTATGAGTGTAAATATATTAGTCCTATAAGCAAGGATTTGAGTAATTACAGTGAATTTTATTTATGCTGTATATGTTTCTCTTATACTTCAGACACTATGAACTGAAAAGAAAAAACGTTTTCTTACTGTTTAATTTATTTTTATTGTTTGAACAGGAAGTGAACATAGTTATTTCCAACGAAGTTTTACTTTTTGTAGGATTTTAAAAGTAATGATTTTTATCAGGAATCTATTAAGGTCAATATTAATAACACTGAAACAGGAAATCCAACTCCCAATATTGGAATTTTGGTACCTTTTTTCACATCGTTCTTTATTTAGCAGCTCTCTGATTCATTTAAATATGTTTTATATAGAATTCTATGTGCCTTTTTACCTTGTGGCCTTTTTATTATTCTCACTAAGGTACAGGAGTGTCAACAGAAGCACTGATGGCTCTTTTCTATTCTCACAGGGTTAATTTCACCACAGAATTGCTTTAAATTCGAAGAACTTAAGTTTCACTTTTATTATCATGTATAATGTTTATAATGCAAATGGATGAACAACTAATTATTGCTAATGCTTTTCATTACAATGAAAATAACAAGCATAGACCATGTAGAATCAGTTCTGTAGGCTATGAAAACAACCAATTTAAAGTAAAGAAAGAGTATGTAGAGCCTATTGAGCGGAATTCCGTCCTGTTGAAACTTAGTTCTAAATGTTTTGAATCAGTTGTTACGTTATGACATATGGCTGTTGTTTGCACTATATTATCATGTCTTTAAAAGTAAATCTTTTGGGGTTTCTGGAAGAAGCTTGTTGGCTAATGTGAGCTGTGGTTATAGTTTTTATCAGGACTCTGAACACAAGTTGTAATAATGCAAATGCCTTTATGTAGTGAATATAAAGCCTCTGGTCTCTGCAAAGCAAGAAAAGTGGGGAAATGGTCTCAGGATGTCACCACATCTTGCTTGCTTTCAGATCAGAACAGAGGATCCACTCTAGATCACTACATGTGGAGCATGCTGAGTAAGGGCCATAGAGGATTTAACTTCTGTCGTTACTGCAAATGGAAGGTGGCAGGCATAGATGAAGAGCCCTATGAAGAATTCCTCTCCCATCATTTTGATAACTTAGATCCAATTTTTTTATAGAATTGGGGACTGTTCCTAAACTGCTGAAACTACATGTTTTTCATTTGTTTTTTACAAAGTCAGGTATTCTAAGAGTTCTGTTCCACTCCACCACTACTTATACGGCTTGTTTTTTCTTTGGGTGTGTGCTGATCATGTTACTGAGATTAGTTACGTGGTGTAGTTTACATGAAAATGATGTTTTCCACTTGATTGCTGCGGATATCAAAAGTTTGTTAATTATTTAAAAATACCCATCCAATAAGGGAGGTGGGAAGGTTTTAAAAGTTATGTATGTTATACATACATAACTGGAGAAGTTTCCTATGTCTTCCAAAAATATAATCAGCCTCTTTTATTCACAGTTCTTCCTCTTTTTTCCCTTAAAGAAAAGATAGCACAAAACTTAAGACTTACCTAGGAAATCCATTCATACTCCCAACACAATGTAATTATAACCCTACAATTACTACAGGTAGCTACACAATATACCAGGTAAGAATCAATGCACATTATAAAGAACTTGTTGTTCTTTTCTGTTCTTCCAGTAAAATACGGGCCAGTTGGTATATAGCCCATATATATGTGAATGAAATAAGATAAACCCCATGATCTCCATGCACAGAATTGCAAATGTCTTTTGCAATACCAAGGGCCAGACTCAGAACCCTTGGAGTTCATGTGGCAGAACTTCTCTCTTACATAAACCAATGCTTGAAGATGCTGCAAGTGACCCTCTAATGTTCCCCACAGAGGAATCAGAATAGGGGTAAATGACTCTCCCTGCAAACCCCAACCTCTGTTGCTGGCTGTGGGATTTTTGGTGTGAGCCTAACTATGCACTCTTATCAGCCAGAATTTGGCATTTAGCTCTTAGTTACATCTAGTAAAAGACAGTCTATTGTTTAAAGAGAAGGTGCATTTGTTCCTCAATCAAGCAAGAGCACCTGTGTTGTACTGCTTTATAGCTCATGTATATTTATAGTAATGAAAAGACGAATTGTACACGTTTCAGTGCCTTTCTTGTGTTACGAAAGGCAGGTAGACACTATAGCCATAGATAAAAATCCGTAGATAAATTGCACACTGACCTTAAATCACCTTGTATATGCCCTTCCATCTTGCATGGTAAAAGTTGGATTATTGGGCATGTGTTGCAGCCTGCCCTGCTACATCTTAGACAAGTGTGCATTAGTACATAGCCAGAAGTTCTTCATTCTTTAAAATGTTTTTCACAGATCATCTCATCATAAGAATAGAAATAATTCAGGAAAACTGTGGGGGAAAGAATTACATTTTACAAAAGATGTTTCAAAGCCTTCCTAGAACTTAGATGATTAGAGCCTAACATTTATTTTGTATCTAATTGATACATCATGTTGATTTAACATTACAACTATACATTTTATTAATCAAAATTATATAGCATGTGACTCTTTTGGCTTTCAGGGTTCTCAAAAAATTTTATTCTTTAGTTGCATGTACTGTATGTTTAGAGGCAACCAGTTATATACTCAATATGGTTTTACTGTGCCTTACACAAAGAGAAAATCTATACAGAATGTATATCATGGGATGGGGTAACAAGAGTCTTTACTGCACTGTTAGGTGATGGCACACAGAGCATGTCCCAGAACATTTCTGTGCTTAATTACCCAACCAAAGAGATCTAAAGTATGTATGTTGTACTGTAATAGGGGTTTATGCCTGGACAATTAAGTGTTTTATTTGTTTTCTGAAATGATGTGAACTTATTTTTCTAAACACTATGCTAAATAAACTTTATATTTATACATACCTTGTGCTGAAAGTGATTTTTCCCTGAAAAAAGCAACAAAGGAAAAAGAAAAGCAAAAACCCACACAAACATTTCATAGACTGGCAAATATAAAGACAAAAGGAGTCATTTTGGGAAAATGATCTGTTGGTCTCTACAAAATTATGTCATTCACTTAACTGTACTGCATCCTCAGAGCTAAATGATTAATTTAATTTCCTGTTTTCTTTAAGGAAAGAAATGTTTCTTACTCATTTGGGTACCCCAAAATCTGAATCTGGTACTCCAGAAGGTCTAATGAAATTAAATTGAAAGGTCCAAAGATCTTTCCATTCCCAATCTTATTGAAAGAGCTCAGTATAACCCACCTTTTAAAGCACTCCCATTAGCCAAAGTCTGGTTTACTAAACAGTCGGGTCCACCAGTGGTTTGACATAAAGTTAGGGACAGAACTGCATTACTGAGTATGTAGAAGACTCGCCTTGGTACGGTTTGGTCCTAATTTTAAAATTACATGGTATCTGATTTTGTATGCCTCCCACAATGAAATGAAGAGGAGACTAGCAATTAAGTAGAATTGTCCAATTCTATTACAAAACTAGTTAAAACCATCAAGTTAATTTCAGATATTACTCCTAGGTTTTTTTATGTTCTTGTCACTCAGTTCATTTATTTAGTTTAGCAATTTCCTATGTAGTTAAACCAGTTAAAGTGAATAGTGTCTCAGTGAGTATAGGGTCAGAGTATTATGAAGTGATTACATTTTATAACATCTTAACCAAACAAATATTTTAAAACATTTGACAAGGTCACTGACCTACTTCAAACATTTTTTGGCTCCTGGAAAACTAGCAAATCAAATAAAACCCCTCAATGGGAATTTGAGACCTTCAGCTGTATGATTGTATCTCACTTTTCCAGTTTCTCTTAAGAAATAATAAATGTGGAAATTTACCTCTGCACATCACCATTGTCAATACAAGAGCTAGTAAAGTAAGTAAATAAGGTACATTCAGTCAGTGCTATAAAATCAACAGGGTCATAGGATTAGGAATGGGGAATGGTAGAGATGGGGATATACATTAGATTGGTCAAGGAAGGTCTCTGAGGAGGTAACATTTCAGCAGAGAAGCTTGAATGATTGAAGGGAGCCAGCCAGCAAGACCTAGAAAAGAGCATTCCAGACAGGGAACAGCAGGGCCCCAGGGGGGAGCAGGGCGGCTACATCACAGTGTTAACTCGGGGAGTCCTGTGATAGGGGATCCAGCCAGAGAGAGAGGCAGGGATCACATCACAGGGAGAGCTCTACTGTTCGGTGCCAAATAGTTTGGATTTGAGTCTAAGAAGTAAGGGAAATATAACATGATTTACACTAAAATATCGCCAGGCCTATTCCTTGAAGAATGGCATGGTAGGAGGCAAGAGTGAAGGCAGGAATTTCGAAACTATGTCAGGTTGTCCTAAGCTGTTGGACAGGAAATACTTGAAGCACGTATAGCAGTTTGTCCCCAAGTGTCTCCAGAATTTCATGCTCTCCAAGCTTTCTATCTACTCTGCCTCCTGCTGTTAACCAAAGCTGCCGGCTTCCTGCTGGGATTGTCCCAGCCTGAACCTGTTCCCTGAACTCCAGGCTGATAGGTTCAGTTCCCTAATGGATATTTTCAGAATGACTCCATAAATGCAATTTTAAACTATTATTGCTCTAAGCCTGTTCCCCACTCTGTATTCCTCATTTGTGCAGCATTCACTCGCCCATTGGCCAAATAAAAAATCTGGGCTTCACCCTGGGGTCGTTTCCCTTTCTTCCCACCTCCACCAGATGACTGTGTATTCATGTCTTCTCTTTCATTGTCTCGAATCAGTCCCTTCCCCTCTATTTCTAAGGTTACTGCTATAGTCTAGGCACCTAGCATTTCTCGACTAAATTATCACAACAACCTCCTACCTGGTATCCCAATGCCCGGGCCTCATTCCAGGCTACATTACAGCTATATTCAGATGGAACTTTCAGAATTCAAGACATTATCCGAGCCTTGTTTTCCAGTTTAGAACCTTCAATGGCTCTCCGTTGACTTTGAAATAGCATTTAAACTCCTTAACATACAAAGCCCCCCAAACCCAGGCCCTACCTCTCTGTCCAGTTGCATGTGTATCCATGTGAAACTATTCCCCAAAAGGACCAGGTTTTTTCTAACCACCCAATCTTCAAGACTCCCTAGAGGTCACATACTCCAGGAAGCTCTGTCTCACCCCCGTAGCCATGCCCCATTCTGGGATCAGACAGGGATTCATGCCCTCCTTTAGCGTGGCACTTATCACATCACTGTAATTGTGTGTCTGCCATTCTACAGTTTCACCTTTTTTCTGACATTTAGTATAGTAGAGCATAGTAGGCACTTAAATATTATTTGTTAAATGGATAGTAACTCTTAACAGTCATTTATCCCTTTAAATCATTTTACTTGCTATGGATTAGGGAACTTCATGGCTAAACTGGTTAAAGTATTATCCCTAATTTAGAACACAAAGTAAATACATTTGGGAGTAGGGCCAGAGAGTGGTTATGTGAATCTTCTAGCATTAGTGGATGGTCTTTGTAGTAATTATTTTCCTTACTGCTCCAAGGTTTTTTTCCACTTATTTCCAAATGGTTCCAGTTGATAGAGGTTGGCTAAAGTTTGACAGACAATTGGGCCATTAGCAAAAATGTACTCATTAAGCCTTTTTAGATCAATGCTTCAAAACAGCGGTGATGTACAGAAAAGTTATTTATAATTATGTATAGATATACTTTCTAAAAATACTCTCTCTGTGGGTATAGTATTTGAACTGAGCAGATGTCTAAAGAGGCTATGAGGAACAGTAAATGGGACACAGAGCACAGGCATCAGGAAATCTGGATTCTAATTAGTCTTTAGATGTGGGAAATGCCAATTCACCTCTCTGGACCTAATTTTTTCCCATTGAAATGGGTGTGTTAGCTATGATTATATTTGAGGTCCATGTAGCTATTTAAAAAAAAAAAAAAAAGTTAATAAAATGCACTCCCTCCTCCCTACCTACAGGCTAAGAAGACCAGATGAATTACAGAGTGAAAGTACACTGTGCCTTGCCAAGGGCTACAGACATAAAAATAAAACAATTGATATTGAGTCAACAAGCTGTGCCCCCTAGAATTACTTAGAAGTTGCAGAGCTGGGTGAGGCAGGTCTAGCTTTGCCCTCTCGCCTTCTTCACCTGTATCTACCCTGTTCCCTAAGGGGCCTGCCCTTCTCTCGGGTGTCGCCCTACCTCCCTAAGCGCCTTAACTGAGAATCATCCTGGTCTTGGTGGTTATAATGAGCCCAACCCCTCACCCCTGGGAAATTTGCATTTCAAGGATCGCTTTTGAAGACTCAAAGGAACCAAGCTGTAATCATGGATAAGTTACAGATTAATAAAACTAAGCAAAGTGTTCCCTATTTCTAAGAGCGGCAAGCATGTGTGTGTGTGTGTGTGTGTGTGTGTGTGTGTGTGTGTGTGTGTGTGTGTGTGTGTATTTGGGGGATAGGGAGAGAAGGATGGGCGATCGGAGGAAAGGAGAGAATGTCCCCATTTTCCCCTTCTTCATGTGCTCCCCTTTCCTGCTGGGTATCAAGGACCAGCCAGTGGAATCTAAGCTGTTGGATCCTCTGACAACAATGAACAGTGTTTTCCCCACAGCCATCTCATCTAGAGCCTTCAAAATTTTCTTCAAGAGGATTCCTGTGTTGAAAAATCATTTAGCTACAATAAAACCATAAAAACTAGCCATCGAGAAACAAAGGTTGCTCTGGGATTTTGTGTTTTTATAATCCTCCACCAGAGGGTATTTTTCCCATTGCTCTTCGGAGAGAGTGGAAGGGAGAGAATCTCACATTGATCCGTTGCCTCTCCCATGTCCTTGGCCAGAATCAAAACCCGACCCTTCAGTCCACAGGCCCTAACCACTGAGCTCTAACCACTGGTGCTCTAACCACTGAGCAAAACGGCCTAGGGCTTGTTTTGCTTTTTAAGATGTGCGCTACATAGGAGATGTGCTAAAGAGAAACCCAAAATATGCATTTGGTTGAAAATTAGGAAATATAATACAGGTTTGTATTTCTTTTTATTTAATTAATAAGTACACTGTTACTGTGTTCTTTAACAGATGGATGGCCTTCAATATCTTAGTACAAATGTATTAGCTCTAAGAGAACTATAGTCTCTACCTGAGTGGCCATAAGCCCTACTAAAAGGTGAGATAATTCTATTCCCAAAAGGAAGGAGGGGACAAGAGACACTGGGAGTCAATTAGTGGTGTCTGCCGTTGTATTGAGCCTACTTTCTTGAAGCCCATGGACTATCCCTTCTAGATGACAGAATGAAAGTAGTCATATAAAGGAGCCAGGAAATGCCATTTTCCCACTACAGATCTAAAGGTTCGACTTCCCATTAGGCTGATAGGCATCATCTTTAAATCACTATCCTCTCCTATCTCCCTAAAAAGTTTGAGGCAATGGCCCTGGCCGGGTAGCTCTGCTGGCTGGAGTGTCATCCTGTACAACAAAGGATTGTGGGTTCAAGCCCCAGTAGGGGCACATTTGGGAGGCAACCAGTGGATGTTTCTCTCTCTCCCTCTCTCTCTCTCAGATCAATGAAAGGATATCCTCAAGTGAGGATTTTTTAAAAAGTTTGAGGCAATGCACAATTCCTAGTTTAAAATACAACTTGAAACTGTCATTTTTTTTTCATTTATTTTTTAATTGTTGACAGTATTACAGATGTCCTCCATTTCCTCCCCT